GGGGGCGGAATGAGAGAAGCGGGGAACAAGACTGGACCTGTGTCCTTGCGGAGGACACATCCCGGGGTGCAGGAGGGTACCAGGAGGGTCCTAGGGGCTTAGGTGACTGCGGGCCAGGTTGCCAAGGGGCCGAGACTCCAGGGATTGAGGGAAGGAGGGGCCAGACTCCCGGGGCCTAGGCTGCATTTTAATAGGATAGAGGGCCCCCCCATCCCCAGGAGTGGGGAGGTGCATCGGCATCTTAGACCTTGAGGTCCCCGGAGAACTCGTTGAGGCTGCCAATGTGACTGAGGACGACGTCTCCGTAGCAGCCGAAGTCGAGCGGCAGCAGGTGATCATGGCTGAGCCGGGTGAGCAGATGGCCGGCAAGGAGAGCCACAGCCCGGGCCACTGCGGGCAGGCGGCCTCGCAGCGCCGCGTGCAGGTTCTCGTACGTGTCCTCTTTTGTGTTCAGGAACGGATACGCCTGGTCGTCCTGCCGGGACAGGGCGAGGGCTAGCTAGGCAGGGGCATGGTGGAGGCAGGCCGCGGGTCTGGCGTTCTGGGACCGAGGCCAGCGAGTCTCACCTCCAGGAAAGAAAATTCAACCGCAGGAACCCCCGCAAAGGCGGTGAAGGAATAGGCGCTGCTGTCCATGGGCAGGGGTCGGATCCTGAGGGCAGGCAGGTTGGGGGGGGGGGATCCGTGGGCTCAGGCTCCCTTCCCCCTCTCACCCACCTCAGCTTCTGCCACCCCTACTTACACCTCAGCCTCCCAGCTGGGGTTGGTGACCACCACCTGCTCATAGAGGGTCTGTCCACTGTGATTAGGAGAGTCCACCTGGGGGCAGGGTGGGGTCACAGGTCAGGCTGGGCCCCTACCAGCTTCCTTTCTCCCATCGCGTCCCCTGCTCTTGCCTGCTTTAGGATGGTCTTGATGAGGTTGATGAGAAGGGGGCTGGTCTTGGCGTGAAACCTGTCATCCCCTGAAGAGAGGGAGGGGTATGCCAGGCTCAGGGTTTGGCCCCTGGGACAGGAGGGAGGACGAGGGTCCCAGGTCGTGCCACTGCTCACCCAGCACTGCGTTGTCCAGGCTCACGTAGACGACCGCTTTGAGGTGCAGCACACTGAGGTAGCCCTGTGGGTGAAGGGAGTAGGGTGTCCTCACTCCACCATGCCTTTCCCTACTCCCCAGCTACCCTGGCCCAGGATCCCACCATCACCTCCAGCCATTCCATGGAGCCCACACTCCCAAAGTCGCCTCCATCCCAGCTAATGAAGAGAAGACTTCTTCGGGGCCGGAAGCCTGGGGGCAGAGGGGAGAAGGGAGGATGGGCTTGGCTGGAGGCCAAGCAAAGCCCTCAGTCCTCCCTTTGTCCTGGTCCTCTGGGGCCCCCTCCTTCCTTCTCAACAGCCCCCTGTTTAATTTTCACTCAGGCTGATGGACTCCTACTCCTGTATTGTTTTTTAGACGAGGGAAGAGAGGTGAAGTGATTTGCCCAGGTCCACATAGCTAGAGCTTGGGGGACCCATGTTTGGGGGTCAGGTTTGAGATCCAGCCTCCAGCCTGTGTTCCTAACTGCCTCTGCCCCAGTCTTGGCTCAGGCTACAGTCCCACCTCTGCCCAGCCCAGGCCCTGACCTTACCGTTGCTCACCATGGAGGAAACGGTCCTCACTAGCTCCAACAATATGGCGGTCCCCACGGCAGACCTGGCTGCTCCTGGGCCCCATGCGTCCCTCTGGGCCCCGACGACAACATAGTGATCTAGAGGAGGGAACAGTGGGGCTCATCTCTTACATGGGCAGCAAGTACCCAAAGGCTTCTTCCTCCACCTGGGGTGGGGGTGGGGGCAGGTGCCACCAGCTCTCCTGGCCCTCTGCCCACCTCCATCACTCAGCTCTTCCCATCTTTCTGCAACCCCCTCACCCCAACGCTGCAGTCCCTAAGGAAAACTTCTCCTTCTTCCCTTGGCTCTCTCTAGACAGTGTGTTCCATCAGCAGGCTGCCTGGGTCATTCCCTTCTTGGTCAGCCATGCCCCACATGTCACCAGGTTGTGGTGCCAAAGATGTTGCTTGTTTTAAGTTCTCCACCCCTCCCCCACCAGTATTGTGAGCCTCACCACAGGCTGCCTGCACCTCTCCCTCACTGCTCATAGGTGCCACACTGTTCTTCCTGAAGGGTTGCTCCCATCACCCTGTTCTCCTGCCCAAGAACCTCTGATCCCCCCACAGCTGTCCACATCTGGTGATGCTTGAGAGGGCCACCTGTGCCATCTGGCCATCTTTCATGCTCTGCCAAAACATCACCTACCTTATGCTTGTTTGCCTACAGTTGACAGGGAACTCACTACTGGGCAAGACTGCCTGTTCCACCTGAGGACACGGTGGAGTGAGGGTTCTCACTGCCACTCCTATCCCAGTCCCAACTTGCCAGCCTACCTTCCTACTAACCCCCACTGCACCCTCTACTTCAGTCTAAGCTGCCCCTCCCTCCCTGGGTCACCACTCCTGCCCTTCCTTGGGTCTCCTGCATGGCTCTGTCTCTGGTCTGGGCTTATGAGCAGTGGCTCCTCCCATAGGCTGTGAGTGATGCAGAGAAAGGGAGCACACCTGGCTCAGAGTGGCCCTCAATGCAGCCAAAGATGTTGCTGATAGGGGTGGAGGTCCTGCGGTTGTTGACCGTTAGGTGCAGGCCCGGCCCAGGGCCCAGGCGGTAAGAGGACACTGGGAGGTGCCCCTGCCATTCCTTAGGGGCTACAGGACCTTTAAGCTTCCTGCAGGGGGCAAGGGCAGAAAGGAGCAGGAGTAGCAGAGAGGCCAGGGCCACAGAAGGGTCCAAAGCCCACTCTTGGCTCTTTCCTTCCCACCCTCAGCTTCCGGGTCTCTGCCTCTGCGCCCTGCTTCGGGGGGACTGTACAGCCGGGGCCCCCGGACGGTCGTGTTGCACCCAACTCAAGAACGGAAGTGGAGTCTCTGGTTGCCATCCAGCAGGGGCTCCACTCACCAAACTGTGGGCCCCGGCAAGAAGCTGTGCCCACCAGAGGCAGGGTGGCCTTTTTCTGGTTCACCCAAGGGCACTCTACGGGCTAACCGCAGCTCCCTCTCTTCCTCTTCTGGGCCCCAGGCGCCCCTCACCTCAGCAGGCGGGAGGCAGTGTCTGCACTGATGGGCTGGGCTGGGATTGTGGGGAGGCCAGAGGACTGGACTGGAGGAAACTGGGTTTGATTGAAGGAGGGGAAGCCAGGCGTGTAGGGGTCCCCAGTTCCCAGGTGCACCTGTAGGGAGAGGAGTGCCCGTGCTCAAAGCTGTGGACTGGGTTCCTGGGAGAATAGGATGCTAGCCTTGCCCAAGGTAAGGAGGTGCCACCCCAGGGACCTTGTACTTACATGTCCGTACACAGCCCGGTGGCTGGACAGGCCTAGCTTGTGTGTGTGTGAGGTCAGGTCTGCTGGGTCAGGGTATATGAGCACTCCTTGAGCCCCGAAGTCCTGGGCACTGGCCACCTGGGGAAGGGAGGTGACTAGAGGACTCCTTTTCGAGAGAAAATGGATGTATAAGGGCAGGAGACGTGAGTCGACTTGAAATGGGTGGTGGGCCTTTGATCCCTCACTGTGGCTCCCACAGTTCTCCAGATGAAAGGCTGTGCACACCCTCTGGTTCTCCCTCCTCGCCCTCCTGCAGCTCCCCCTCCCCAGTTGCCGCCTGTTCTGTACCCCACATTCCGCCTGACTCTTGGAACCTCCTGATTTTGTCGTCGCCTGCCAACGTCTTCTTAGAACGTACTCGGGCCTTTCATTTCTCCCTCTGTCAGCCTCCTAGACGTTTCCTCTTTGCTCCAAGCCTCTGGTTCCCCTGGCCCGCACCTCCCTCGCTGCACACCACCCCTCATCCAGTGATGCGCACCTTCTGGGCGAAGTTGATCCTCCCCACGCGCACCAGCAGGAGGCGCCCCTTTGGCTCCACGCCCTGGGCCCGTAGGTTCTGCAGGTCCTCCAGCCGCCCGTAGTGGGCGTACACCAGCTCTCCCTGGGGATGAGGGGATGCCTGAGGCGTGCTCACCACGTCCTTCGCCCCACCACCGAAAGGGCAAGGGCGGCCTGCATCCCCGCATCCCCGGGGCGGGACAGGAGGCACTCACCGTGGTGTTGCCGGTGGCACTGTAGGGACAGTAGACGTCGGGGTCCTCCAGAGGCAGCTGCTCCCCGGCTCTCCCGGCCGCACCCACCCAGTGCAGGGTGTTGGGGTGATCCCTGAGGAGCGGGGGTGGTGAGTGCCCGGACCGTGCTGGCGCGCCCCTACCCCACTCTCCCGCCTCTGGGAACTCACGGGTCTGGGAACTGCAACCCCACGTAGTGTGTGTCAGTCCACACGTGGTCCAGCTTCTGGCGGGAGAACTCGGAGCGGACGTCCTGAGCCAAGGCAGCCATGCCGGCCGAGCCAGCCGTTCGTTCCCGAGAGCTGGTTTGCCTGAGTGAGGAGAGGTGGGATTGGGACGGGCTGGGACTTCGGAACTTCTGAACCCCTGGGAGAAGGGAGAGTTGGAAAGGGTGCCTGAGACGTAGGGTTGCCCCAGGCCATGGGTGGTGAGGGGCTCCTTATTCTCAGAATAAGCTCCTCTGACTCATTCTCTCCCATCACCATCACGGCTGCATCCCAGAGGGTCTCCAAGACATCCTTCTGCTTAAAATATTAGCTTCCCACAGTCAGGGGTTCTGTCCACCACTCCTTAGGGTATTCCTGGTTCAGGCTAAACTCACCAACCCGTGTACTGTCTACACACGGCCTCTCCTGTGCCCCACCACCATACATACTGGCTTGAGCTCCGCCCAGGCATGAAAACACTTTTCTTCCAAAGTGCTGACTGGGCAGAGGCAGCAAACCCTCACTTCCCCATCCTCCACCTGGGCCTCATGTGGCCACCTTACCCCAAGATTCCTAAGGATCTCACAGTAGTGAGACCACTTGTCTCACTGGAGACCTAACCCAGCCCTTCTTCCAGAGTCACCACCTAAGGAGGAAGCCTCTTTGTCCCCTGACATATCCCTGTTCTGCCATGGGCTGCCCCCACATCGCTTTCATGTCACCTGGATTCTACCTGCACCCTTTCCACATCAAAATAACTATCCTCGCCCTCAACATCATCGCAGAACACCTTTTCTGCCTCTTGCATTGACAGAAACTTGGCTCTCTCTTGAAGAGGCCATGCCTTCTGTGCCTCTGGCTCTACTTCTCCAACTTCTGATGACTTCTCCTCAGGTTAAATCTATTCTTTGAAGCCCATGTTACCCACCTCTACCTCCCTCTACCCGCCCCCACCCCACTCCACCACTGCTGTTATCTTCTAACCATTTGGCCATTTCTCCACTTTCATTAAGGACTTTGGCATTTGGCATCTGGGTTATCATTTTCCTGTGCACACAAGGTCCACTATACTTCTGTTGTTGTTGTTGTTGTTGTTGTTATTTGCCCTTGAGTCGCCCCCGACTCATAGCGACCCCTCCTTGGGTTTCCGAGGCAGTATCACTACGCAAGTAGGATTGCCCAACCTTCCTCCTGTACTACTTCACAATCCATGTGGATTCAACCTTAGTTGAAGCCCCATGCTTTTAGCTCTCACCAGGAGTACTGCAATCCATGGTCTAAGTGGCTTTCTTAGACCAGAGGCAGATAAATTTATCATTTAATTCCTGTCCCCATCCAGGAACTCAAGTGTTAGTTTTAAATTGCACCTGATATCCATTATAATGGAATTGGTATATAAAATATGGTAACGAGCACGTGGAAGTCCTGTGTAGCAGCAGGAAACAATAACCTAGATCTACACATTGCAATCTAGATTGGTCTTTAAAACATAGTGTTCTTCGCCCTGGAGAGAACAATCATGGGAGAAGGAAGGGCTGCTTATGCACAGGGAGATAGCTCAGGGTGCAGAAGAGTATGAAGGGATGGACACTGGGAGGAGGTAACTATGGGGAGGAAGTGGGAGGGGAGCTGCTGCATTGTAAATTTTGGTCAATGACATGAGACAAAGTATATGTGAACTGCTGTATGAAAAGTGAATTTACTCTGTAAATCTTCACCCAAATCCTAAAAAAAAAAACAACAACAAAAAAAACCATAGTGTTCTTTTAAAGAAAGTTTATCAAAATTGAAAACACACACTGGTCTAGAGCAAGATGATTGTGTGAGCAGCTGCATGTTCCCATCCCTCCCCTACACACACACACACACACAAACCACCAAAATATACAAGCTGAAACTGGCAGAACCAACTTTGTCAGAACTCTGGAAACCAGTCAAGGGGTTACAGCAACTAAGCAAATGCTGACTCAAGAAAAAGTGACACTTAAATGTAGGAAGGAGCTCTGGTAGCATAGTGTCTAAGGCACTTTGACTGCAAACCAGAAGGCTGGCGGTTCAAACCCACCAGCCACTCCTCAGAAGGAAGATGAGGCAATCTACTTCTGTAGTGATACTGCTTTGGAAACCCAAGGAGGGGTTGCCATGAGTCAGGCCCGACTTGACGGCACATAACAACAACAACAAAATGTAGGAAAGCTTTGGTTTATATATGCCCCATCTTGCCAGCTCAACATGGCCATCTTAAAAAGCAGCAGTGGCCTGCATTCCCAAAGAAAAAGCCTGGTCTCTGGCTCTAGAAGGAGCAGAGAAGACTTTGTTCTCAAATCACTGTGTGTGTCTGTTCTAACCTGTCTGAGGGAGGACTGAAGGACTGAAGCAAGGCTCTTGTCTGGGTCTGGCCTTTCTCAAGAGTTCACACAGGACACAGAAACTGTGTGCAGTGACCTAAAGCTGTAACTATCTGTAGCTGCCTGGGCTAACCAATGTGATTAAGGCATGCAACAGGCACCTGAAGACTGGAAGGAGAAGCTGGGGAGCATTTCTTTTGGGAATTCAGGCTTTCAAAAGAATTGTGTGTAAGGGACAATTGAGAAAGGCACATACACATTCCCAGGGCAAGACACATACTCACAAATTACCTGAGAAAACAGTATGCTTTTACCTTGGGCCGATCCCTACATCCAGTACAAGCCTAGAAAAGTACTGAAGGAATGTCCCAGCACAGAATCAATTTGTGAAGATTATGAGAGCTACCCCCACAACCCTAACATTGAAGGAAATATCTTCCAAAACACTAGCTGAATACCTGAATACAAGGTAGAGAACAGAGACTTGAGTCCACACATGTTTAAGAAGGCAGCCTTTGCAAAAATAGGAAGTCACTAACCAAAAGAAGACTACAGTCTTCAATAACTAAGAAAAAAAAAAAAAACTTCAGCAAGTCCTGGGAAAGGAGAAGAATCTAATTTCCAGAGTTACCATATTATAATACTCAAATGTCACATTTTTAACAAATAATAACAAGGCATACAAAGAAATAGGAAAGGATGGCTCTTGTAAAAGAAAAAAAAAAAAGTGACAGAGACCATCCTTGTGGAAGGTGAAATAATGATTTACTAGACAAAGATTTAAAAAAAGCAAGTATTTCATATTCTCAAAGAACTGAAGGAAAACATAGACAGAGAACTAAAGGAAATCAGGAAAACAATGTATGAACAAAATGAGAAAACTGATAAAGAGAAAAAATTATATAAAAAAAGGACTAAACAGCAATATTCAACTGAAAAGTATAAGAACTCATGTGAAAAATTCACTAGAGGAATTAAACAGCAGATTTGAGCTGGCAGAAGGAAGAATCCATGAACCTGAAGACAGAAAACGGTATTATCAAGTCTGAGGAAAAAGAAAAAAGAGTGAAGAAGGGACTCGTGGGGCACTGGCAATCTGACCAACACAAGCACAATGGGAGTCCCATAAGAAGAAGAGAGAAAGGGGCAAAAAGAATATTTGAAGAAATAATAGCCAAAAACTTCACAAATTTGACAAAAGACATGAATCTACACATCCAAGGAGCTCAATGAACTCCAAGTAGGATAAACCCAAAGAAATCTACACATTTTATAATAAAACTCTCAAAAGCCAAAGATACAGAGTATCTCGAAAGCAGTGAGAGAAGCATATCATCACATACAAGGAATCGTCAACAGGAGTAAAATCAGTTTATCCTCACAAACCATGAAGATCAAACGGCAGTAGAATGACATATTTAAAGTGCTGAAAGAAAAGAACAGCCAACTAATAATTCTATATTGACAAACTGTCCTTCAAAACTGAAGACATTCCTAACCACAGGGAGGAAGTGAGAAGATAGGTGTTACATTATGGGTATTACAATCAATGTCATGAAACAAAATGTATATCAACTGTTGAATGGAAAATTAATTTGCTCTGTAAACTTTCATCCAAATCACAATTTTAAAAATTAAGACATTCCCAGACAAACAGAAACTGAAGGAGCTTCTTACCACAAGACCTATGCTACGAGAAATGCTAAAAGGAGTCCTTCAAGTAGAAAAGAAAGTACACTAGACAGTCAGTAACTTGAAACCATAATAAGAAGAAGCATCTCCAGTAAAGGTAATTTTATGGGCAAATATTAAGACTGGGTTTATGGTATTTTTGGTTTTAAACTCTACTTGTTATGTTCTACAAGATGTAAAAGACAAACACATAAAATATAATTACAAATTTATGTTAAAAAAAACAATCAAACTCACTGCCGTCATGTCGGATTCGACTCATAGTGACCCCTCCTTGGGTTTCCGAGATGGTATCACTACGGAAGTAGATTGCCCAGCCTTCCTTCTGAGGAGTGGCTGGTGAATTTGAACTTCCAGCCTTCTGGTTAGGAGTCAAATGCCTTAGGCATTATGCCACCAGAGTTCCCCCACTTTCAGTAGTGGGTAGAATATCTAGACAGAAAGTCAATAAGGAAATAGAAGACTTGACTAACAAGACAAACCAACTAAACCTAACAGACATATATAACAGAGTCCACCCAATCATAGCGGAATACACATTCTTCTCCAGTGCACATGGATCATTCCCCAGGATAGACCATATATTAGGTCACAAAACAAGTCTCAATATATTTAAAAAGACTTAAATTGTACAAAGTATCTTTTCCAACCACAGTGGAATAAAACTAGAAGTCAGCAACAGGAGGAAAACTAGACAATTCCCAAATATGTGGAAATTAAAAAGTGTACTATCAAACAACCAATGAGTCAAGAATGAATCATGCAATGAATTAGAAAATACTTAGATTAGTTGAAAATGAAAGCACTACATATCAAGACATGGGATAGAGTGAAGCAGTGCTCAGAGGGAGATGTGTAACTGTTGATGTCTACATTAAAAATGAGGAAAGATCTCAAATCAATAATCTAAGTTTATACCTTGAGGAACCAGAAACAGATGAGCAAACTGAAGCCAAAGCTACCAGAAGGAAGGAAGTAATTAAGATTAGAGCAGAGATAAAAGAAATAGAAGTTAGAAACACAGAATCAGCGAAGCGGGGGAAAAAAAAAAACCTGGTCCTTGAAAAGATTAAAAAAAAAAAATTACAAACTTTTAGAGAGGAAGGGGGGAAGAAAAAGAGGGAGAAAACACAAATAACAAAAATCAGAAACGTTATTGACTCTAGAAATGAAAAGAATCATAAAGAGTACTGTGAGCAATTATATGCCAACAAATTACATAACCTACATGAAATGGGCACATTTCTAGAAACACAAAAACTACCTAATTGACTCAGTAAGAAATAGAAAGTCAGAAGAGACCTATAACAAGTGAGCAGATTGAATCCGTAATCAAAAACCTCCCAAGAAAGAAAGGTCCAGGACCAGATGGCTTTACTAGTAAATGCTACCAACATTCAAAGAAGAATTAAACCAGTCCTTCTCAAATGCTTCCAAAAAATAGAAGAGGGAATACTCCCTAACTCGTTCTATGAAACCAGCATTACCAAAACCAGATAAAAACACCACAAGAAAATAAAACTACAGATCAACATTCCTTATGAATATAGACACAAAAATCCTCAAGAAAATATTAGCAAACTGAATCCAACACCATACTGAAATAGTTACACACTAAGACCAAGTAGTAATTATATCAGGAATGCCAGGGTGATTCAATACAAGAAAATCAACATAATATATCACATCAATAGAACAAAGGAAAAGAACCACGTGATCATCTCAACTGATGCAGAAACGGCATTTGACAAAATCTAACACCCTTTCATGATGAAACCACTCACCAAACTAGGAATAGAAAGGCAATTCCTCAACATGATAAAGGGAATTTATGAAAAACCTAGAGCTAACATCGTACAAAAGGAGCTCTGGTGGCCTAGTGGGTAAGACATTTGGCTGCTAACCAGAAGGTCAGCAGTTCAAACTTACCAGCTGCTCTGGTGAGCAGTGAGGCAATCTACTACTGTAAAGATTTACAGCCTTGGAAACCCAATGGGGGTCGCTGTGAGTCGGAATCAACTCAATGACAGTGACTTTTTCTTTTTTTTAGTATCATTACACAATGGTGAAAGACTGAAGGTTCTCACCCTAAGATCAAGAACAAGACAAAAATTCTCCTTTTACTAAGGCTATTCAACATTGTATTGGAAGGTATTCCATCCAGAGCAATTGGGCAGGATAAAGAAATAAAAGGCATCCACATCAGAAAGGAAGAAGTACAACTATCTCTATTCACAGATGACATGATCCTATATATTGAAAATCCCACGGAATCCCTCAGAAAACTACTAAAGCTAATAGATTCAACAAGTTGCAAGGTATAAAATCAACACCAAGACTAGTTAATATTTCTATCTGAAGATGAAAATAAGAAAACAACTTCATTTACAATAGCATCTAAAAGAATAAAATACCTAACCATAAACTTAACCAGGGAGGTGAAAGACTTGGACAATGAAAAGTAAGAAACATTGCTTTTCAGAGTGTCCACAGCTCCCAGCTGCCACAGACCATAATCCGAGCTCCTCCATGGGTCCTTCAAGGCCCTTCAGGATTTGCTCTACTGCCTATCTGGATGCTGGGCCCCTCTGTTCTTATACAATCAGGTCCCCAAACCATCCCACCCTCAGAGCCTGAGCCCTCTGGAGCCTCGTCCTCACACCTGCCCTTCCTCCTCTCAGCTCCCAATGTCTTGCCATTCATTCCTCCCAGGACCAAGGAAGAGGGAGGCCAGGGCGGCAGGTGAAGGGCTCCAAAAAAGGGCCCAGACATCAGGGTCCTGGGCGAGGAGGAAGTGGGGCTAAGTCTGAGTGGAGGCCAGGAGGGCATTTGAGGGTCAGGAAAGGGGCAGCTTACCTGATGGTGTCCTCCAGGTGTCCCTCCTCCAAGAACCGCAGGAACATGGCCTGGAGGTCACGCAAGTACAACGGGCCCTGGTGGTAGTCAGGGCTCAGCTCATAGCTGACGTCCTCGTTGCCCACCAGCACAGCGTCCCCGCAGGCCTGGCAGGATCCTCGGAAGGCCACGTAGCCCAGGAGGAAGGCTGGCGGGTGGCAAGATGGGGGTTCTCCTAGTGTCCCCTCTGGACCCCAGCAATCTCCCCAGCCCAGGCCCCTCACACTCACCCCCAGTGAAGATCAGCAGGGCTGTCAGGACCAGGTAAGGCGTGGCCCTTCCTCCTGCTGCCAGCCAGGCTCCGAGGTTTTGCTGCCTTGGTCTAGAGCCCAGGGGCTCGGGGCCCCTTAGCTCCATGGGGCAGAAGTGGGCCGGGGGCTCGGATCCCTCTTCCCTGTCTTCCTCTTCTTCCTCCAGGTGCCCCTGCTGGGTGCCTTCAACCCGCTTATAGATGGTCCGAGAGGTTCGAGGGGACAATTCTTGCTGTGGGGGCAGGGTGGGCATGAGATTGGGGGTAAAGGTCTGTCTGGGGGATGGAGAGGAATGTAGAAAGAATGGGCCAGTAGCTTTGGGGTGCTAAATGAACATCAGGTGGGGAGAAAGGTCTGAGAGCCAGGCTGGAGGGGAAGGCTAGAGGCTGGCGGAGAGGAGCCAGGACACTAGTCAAGAGAGGCCACCCTGAGGGGTTAGAGAAGGGGCTGAGGGACGTGATGAGGAGGCCTAAGGTGTCCCCCAACCCCACTAAGTCTTACCCTTACCGCTCTCTCGAGTAGACCCCAAAGCCGCTCCATGCTCACGCCTCTTCCTGAGGCCTGCAGGCCCCCCCCCCCAGAGATAAACCGTTTGTGGGAGCCCCAGGAAGGCCCCTTATCAGCCCAGGCAAGGAGCCTGAGCTTGGCCATTCCTCACCCCCTAAGGGTGGGGAGAAGTCCTGGCCTCAGCCCAGCCTTTCAGATATGGTCCCCCCAGCTCAGGCCAGAACAGGAGGGGCTATGCCTCCCCTGCCAACCCTTCCACAGCCCCACTCCTGCCCCTTCCCTGCAAAACAATCGATTTTTTTTTTTTTTTACCTTGGGGCAGACTTTGGCCTTCCAGTTCCCGTCATGAGTGGGGGAGGGGAGCTGATGGCTGCAGAGGGTGGGGTTGTGGATGCCCTTCTCCCCCAGGCTGCTTTTACCCGACCAGTGTCTGTGAGGACCCCTTTTTAAGCCTCCCCTTCCCCATTCCCCTGGAAGACCCACCACGAAGACCTCTGCCCACTTCTCATCTGACTAGCAGCCCCCTGTCTCCTGGTCTTGTAACACATTAGCTTCCTTCCCTGCCCGGTGCCTGCCCCAAGAGCATGCGCTGGGGCATGTGGTCTGGCCATGTGAATGTCTGTCTCAGGCTCCTCGTTTGGGAGGGAGGAGGCATGGAGGAAAGCCCAAAGTCAGATGGGGACCAGTGCTCCGCATTGGAGGTCTCAGAGTCTGGGATTTGTGGGTTAGGGCCCAAAAGCCACGCGGTGAGGCCTGGCCAAGGCACAGGCAGAAGTGAGTAACCTTGAACACATAACGGTCCCCCCTGACCACCTGCTCCTCTTTGGAGCCAAGAAGACTTGGATCAAAGAATAGATTTCTAACTCTTTTGGGTCTTGGTCTGATGAAAATCCATATAGCCTCACCTCAGAAGCACATACAGGAACAAACCACTAAGTCTAATCTACAGTGTCAGGCATGGGGCGCAGATCAGCAAACACCCCCCTCCCCCAAGACCCTAGGACAAGCAGTTCTGGTTCCCAGGTCCGAAGGGAAGTCCAGAGTTGCCGGGCCGCATCAGTGGTCCCAGTCCCCGCTCTATTCCTGTCACCACCACGAGCTCTGGAAGGAAGACAGCAGCGCAGCGATGGCTCACCTGAGCTGCGGGTCTCGGGGCGCTTGGCGATGCCTCTCCGGAGTCGCGAGGCCGCAGCAGAGGCTCCGCCCATCAGACCCCGCCTCCGGGCCCGCCCAGGATCGGCCCCCTCGGGGCGGGCTCTCATCTCGGCCCAGCCTCTGTCTCAGCAGCAGTTGTGCCCGCGCCCCCTACCAGCCGCAAATCGCTCTTGGGTCCTGACGTTTTTCATTGGCTCCGCCAGGGCCTCGCTGCAGGACTCTCCCAGGATCTTCTTGTTGTTGTTTGCCACCGAGTCGGCCCGACTCCTAGCGACCCCTCCTTGGGTTTCCGAGGCAGTAATCACTACGGAAGTAGGATTGCCCAACCTTCCTTCCGAGGAGTGGTTGGTGGGTTTGAACCGCCAGCCTCCTGGTTAGCAGTCAAGTGCCTTAGGCATTATGCTACCAGAGCTCCCAGGATCTTAGCCCCTTTGAAACCTGAGGAAACTGTGGCCCCTCGGGCTCTGCTACAGTCCCCACCCAACACTGTGCCCACGCGTCCTCCGTGGGGTCCCGGAATGAATGTACGTGTGGCCCTTTCGCCTCCCTCCGGACCTCTGTCCCCAGTCTCCACCCCAAGGAAGCCAAACTTTTTTTTTTTTCTTAAAACATTTTTACTCCTTACAACCCAGAAATGTCACAATCTAAGAGGAAGGGAGGGAAAGGCAAGAGCAGACGGGCTTGGGAGGCTAGGGGCTCCGATTTGCACTTTGCAGAAGGTGTTGGGGAAGCCCACTCAGCGCGCCCTCTCCGACCCCGCTGGGGAGGTGACGCCCTCAGGGGCACTTCCGCTCCACGCACTGCTTCCCGCCCTCCTCATATTCCTGCTTGGAGATCCACATCTGCTGGAAGGTGCCCTGGGTGGTGGGGACGACATCGCGGTCAGGGGGCCCTACAAGAAGGAGGGGCTCTGCCTTCAAAAGCCCCCCTCCTGCCCTTCACCGCCTCTCAGGCCCACAGCTTTCCCCCCACTTAGTTCCCCAAGTTTCCCCTGCCCCATCCTCTGGGCCCCTGCTTCGTATTCAGAGGGAGAATACCCCCTCATATCATTCAATCAATAATTCATTCATTCAACAAATATTTCTTGAGTCCCTAACTGCGGGCACTGTTCCCGAGCTAGGTGATACAACTGACAGCCCCAGGCCAGGCAATTGGCACCCCAAAAGCCTACTACATTCTTCCTCTACCAGGTACCCACCACCAACTCCATGCCATCAGTGCTCACAGACACATCAAGCCTCCCTCATTCCAAAGAAAAATCTTCCTTCCGTTCTGCTAGCCCTGAGGCCATCCAATGTGTGGACAGAGTTGGCTTCACTCTGGCTCCCCACTCTGACCCCCTTAAACGTTCCTCTTGAGGTATCCTGCACTGGACGTCCCAGATTGTCCCTTCTCAGACGGTTGCTCTGTCTCTGCCCAAAGGTTAGTGTCTGGGTGTCTACCCCTGCTTCTGTCCTTGGCTCACAGAACACACCTTCCTGGCCCATCTCATCCACTCCCCTGGCTTCACCTCTAACGCTAACACCCCTCCCATTTCCAATCTCTTCCTTGGGTCCAGATCTCTCTGTGCTGAGTTCCAGACTCAAACACACGCCCTTCCCCTGAGGGTCCTTCAGGACCTGGAACCTGCTTCTTCTTTGGTCTTTCTCATCTTCTAGGTCTATGCTGCCCACTGTAGTGGCCACTAGCCACATGCTGCTATTGCACACATGAGTGCAAAATACACCCAGATTTTGAAGACTAAATACAATAAAAGAGAGTCGAATATCTTACTAATAATTTTTGCATTGATCATACATTGGATATATAAGTGAAATATATTATTAAAACTTGATTTCACCTTTTTTTTTTTCTTACTCTTTTTAAATATTGCTACTAGGAAATTTTAAATTGCCCAGGTGACTCACATTATGTCCCTATTGGACAGTGCTGCCCTAGCCCCTGACATAAGCTGTTGTCCTCGGCATCATCCTTGATGACTTCCTTCTCTCACCTGCTGAATCCAAACAGTGTCCTCATTCTGTCATTACTATCTCCTGATAAGCTCCCATATCTACCCACTGACACCCACCCCTCAGCCTCACCCCAGTCATAGTGGAGACCACAGCACCATCTCCCTCCTTCCATCTGGGCCCCCTTCAGTCTACTTTCTACTCTGCAGCCAAGTGAGCTTTCTAAACCTAGATCTCACATGGCTCCTGGGGGCCTGGGGGCCTTGCCTAGGTTCTTCCCACAGTCTGAGCACCCTCTTTCTCTTTGCTTCATGAGTTCTCACTCTTCCCATCCCAGCTTAAATGCCAGTTCTCCTTGGAGGCCTTCCTTGCTCTCCGGACTAGATGAGGTCCCTTCACTCTGCCCCTCCCATGAAGCGATGCTCTCACACTGTGTGGTCATTTCCTGGTCAACTGTCTCCTCCTGTACACTGTCCTTACTCATGAAGATGGGACTGTGTCAGGTTGTCTGTCCACCTCAATCATGCAGGAGGCCACCAATAACCCTGTGCGACTGACATGCTCCCAGCTCTGAGCTAAGTCCACACTGCCAGTCTCCTAACTTTCGCACTTTCCCTTCTGCCTCTCTGGGGACTCCGTCCTTTAGTAGATGTTCTGCTTGTTATTTCATGGCCTCACTGTCCCCTCTGTGTGGCTGATGCCTGCCAGGTCTGGTTTGCACCTCTAACTCCCTGCTTAACACCTTGCCTTGATTCCAGCAGCAGGTCCAAATTGGTCTCTCCACCCACTGCCTCTAAACCAACCTCCCTGCCTCCTTTTCCTACTTGCCCCTCACTCTCCATCCCCACACTAGATAACTCCAGGACTCTAGAAAGGCTTCCTGTCTGGGCCCCCTTGCCTCCAGCTCATACCCTGATCTCCAAAGATTCATGCCTGTGGTCATCACATCTCTCCCCTGCCCCAAAACTTCAGTATCGCCCCTTTGCTAACCAAGCACAGTAGGTGGCACTCAAAGCCACCACAGTCGTATCCCAACTGATCTCTCCAGAGTCCTGTCCTTCTGCTCTTTGTGTTCTGACTGAGCATTCACTCAGCTGTTCTTCCAAAAAACAAATGTTTGTTGAATGAATGAAATGAACGAGGAGGTGGGTGAGGCAGTGGGGGCTGCCTGGGGTGGCCTCTTCCCTGCATTCAGCCCTATGCCAGGCCCCTCCCCTCTCACCAGTGAGGCCAAGATGGAGCCACCAATCCACGGGCTGAACTTGCGTTCCATGGTGCTGTTGCTGGCAATGAGCTTTAGTCGCATGCTCTGGGGGAAAAGAGGGGCTGGGGAAGCAGACACCTGGGTTCCGGGAAGGGACGGGGCTGTGGGGGGAAAGACCGGGAAGCCACGGGAGCAAGGGGCCTGCTCTGGTGGTAGGGCGCCTGCCATCTGAGCAGGGAGCAGGGAGCAGGGAGCAGGGAGCAGGGAGCAGGGCTTGGTCCTGAAAGCCTAAGCCAGGACTGAAGTCCAGGGCCTTGGGTCAGGAATGGGCTCCTACCGGTGGGGTCTTCTGTGAAAGCTCTCTATTAAGCCTGTCAGTGAAACCCTGAAGCAATGTGTTCCCGCCGGTGACAATGACACTGCCGTAGAGGCCCTGGGAGCAGGGAGAAGGAGTCAGCATGGAAGGAACAGTCCCTCCCTACCTCCTCACTACTCCTGGGCCCCTTTGGACCAGCCTTGGGCTTGGACCTCACCGGGCGAATATCAATGTCGCACATGCCAATGCTGGTGGTCACCACGTGGCCCACGCCCAACATGGTGTTCCCCGACAGGCCCTGAGGAGAAAGGTGTCCCGTGTTTGGTCCTCTGCCCACCTCTCCCCAGCCCCCTACAGTCCTTCACACATCCACCCGTCCAGGATTCAGGGACTCCAGCCAGCCCCCACCCCCGTGCCCTTCACCCAGCC